ATGAGCCATTGTCAGCTGAACTTGAAACTCAAAAGATGAAACCAAAGAGGTGAGAGGCTGAARTACCTGGCAGGAGGGTCAAAAGGCTGCTTTGTTTTGGGATCACTACGAAGGGAAACCCTGTACCATATTAGATCACTTGTGGATGGAAATGCCTCATTTATGTCTTCTGTGGGTGGCTCCAAGAAAAAAATTGGGAGACAGTAACTTAAACCAGGACTGGGGAAGGAGGCTGATTTTTAAAAACTGACAGATGAGTACATTTTTGCATTTACTTGGAAACAAAATGATGGATTTGGATAATCACACAGCATTTTAAGAGAATTAATTTAAACAAGCCACTTTCCATTGGCTTTCTATGAACACCAAGATTACTTTTTGAAGAAAAATTGAAGGTCTTCATGGATGGTGATTTCTAAGAATTATAGCTATGGTATTTAATTTTTGAAAAGTAAATTTCAATGCTATGATTTTCCAACTTATATTTTTCTTTCAAATATTTTTACCTCTTCATGATCCTAAAATCTCCCCTTAACTTTTGTATTTATTCAAAGGAAGAWGAAATATGCACAAAAATGGGGGTCTGTATGACTTATGAAGAAACTATTAGTTCACAGTCAGAGGACAATCAGGGGGAAAATAAGCCAGGKAACTGGAAGCCATTCTCTTTCTTTAGGTCTTTTGTTATAATCATCAAGAATGTAGAATAAAAGGTTACTTTTGAGTTCCACTAAATATTTTCATATTAAGTAATTTTTGTATGTGCATAGATTTTTATTCTTTTTCCACCTAATCCTTTTCTGGTTTTTGTCTTCTTGTGTTGCTCACCAAGCATCTCTGATATGACACTGTGGAAGCTATATTCATCTGGGGATTCTGGATTCTAATGTATTTTTTTTAAAATACTGTTTGTATTTCAGACAATAACTGCGGTTTTTCTTTGTCTATCACCAGAGAAATAAAACATTAATAGTGATAGATCCTCCATTCTTAGATTTTATTCAGGCCCCTTTAGTTAATGATAAGCAGAGGTAAAATAAATTAATGATGCAATTATTATTTTTTAAAATTAAAATGAATCCTTTCAGGTCAATTGGTCTTTCAGTCCTATGATTCACTCTGTGAAAGTGGACTTCCTTCTAAGTATGGGTTAGGGGACTCTCYGCTCCTATAATTTATGACTTATTTTACTGTCAGTACTATGCTCTGTGAGATTTGTCATAAATCACTTGAAAAAATAAATTGAGAAACTTCTCCACTGGATGATAGAAATCCTTTCTTTTAAAGAGTTTGTCCGTATGATATTTCTTCAAGTTAAAGGGTAAAACTTAAAGAAAAAAAATTGAAATATATATCCTTATATGTCTGGTTCTGAGCCTTTAACTTTTTGACTCTGGGAATTTTATGATCCTTTGACTCACAGTCTTGAACTCAGACTTGCATATCTGTTGATTCATCCAACTCATTAACTTTTCTTATGTTCTAAAGCGTTTCAACCAGAGCCGATGACAAGAAATGAAGCCATTCATTATTTTCATCATCTCCCTGATATCTCTGATCAGATTTACCATTGGTTCCTCGGTTGTATTGGGACTAGGTTAGCCCTCTGATTTAATTAGAACAAGAGACCTCTTGGTGCCTGCTGTGACTTGGGAATTGAAGGTGTTTCCCAAATCTCTCTTTTCAGCTATGCTCATGTGTTCTCTCGCTGTGCATGCACATATATGAGAGCGGCATGCACATACATGAGAGGGAATCCACTGTTTAGACATTGTGGCTGATGCGAATTGGATTTGCAAGGTATATCCACAAGAAGGTGGCTGTTTTTTTTTTACCCCCCAGTTGCGAAATTTCTGATACTGCAGTGAAGAGGACAGGTAAAGGTGGTAGTTAGACCTACAGAGGATCATTGGTTCCCTCCAGAGTGACAAGTTTTCATTCTAAGGGCTCACAGGTACAGTGTGAGAAGGCCCTGGAGGTGTGTCTGGGCTCATGAGAGAAACAGTGGACATGGGTTACTGATGGCTACTGTGGGCAAGGAGTGAAGAGTGGCACCATTTCTTGTTTAGGCCCTTCTCCTAGAGCAAAAATTATAATGCCTCAAATATGGAGCTGAAATTTTATGTAACAGCAGTAGTCTATCACCCACACAGCCACCTTTGAAATTCAAGGTGAGAATGAGAGCTATTTTATATTAAATGTTAATGATTTCTAACTAATTCATCACCTTTTTGGCAATTTACAACTTGGCTTTGCTGACAGAAATAACTTTTAGCATACTGTATGAAAAGAGGCAGATCTCCTCATTTTTATTCCTACAGATAATTATGAACATATTTGGATGAGGTAGAACTAGGCTTAAAAGACCATGAAAGATAGAGAATCTGGCCTTACTTGGGGAACAAGTAGAAGGTAGAAAATCAAATGGGCCTTTGTAGATTGTCAAAGAAATTAATCATCTGAGAGACACAGGGAGGGAAAGTCCTTAATGGCAGCTTGGTAGGGACTGCTTTACTGCATGGGATCTAGGGAAGGAGGAAGAGGTGGTGCCTGGGACTGCTGTAGCCCTAACCTAGAGGCTGTGTCTAGGAAGTGTACTCAGACCTGACTCTGTTTTTCCTGTGTTGATATCCTCATGACACTAGCTGCAGACCTTAGGTAGGTATTTCTATAAGTCTTTAATGCACATTCTTTAATGAATGTGCATCTCCCTTGCTAGACTGTTAAACTCCCTKAGGGAAGGACTCCTTTTGCCTTGCTCACCGACATAGCTGAACTTCCTGGTTCAGTGCCTGACACATGGTAGGCAGTCCATAAATATTTTTATTAAACAGGATTTTAAATATTAATTGAACAAGCAAATGTATTTTCCTCTCATAGCCTCTGAGTGCCACCAAGAATGGACTCTTTTTGTASTTAGATCAGAAGCCAAATGGAGATACTGGCTGGGGACTCTGGGAGGATTTTTCTATATTGTTGTAGTTGAATTATGATATTGTGGTGTTCACCCTCCCTTTCCTTTGTAATTTACTTCCTTGCCAACTGCTTTGTATTATTCAGTTTCCCAACAACACATAAAGGCATCTGCTTGGCCACGCACTTTTGGCTGGTGTCCAACATTCCCTTCTGCCATCTTTCTTTTGATAGTGTACACTCCAATTTTATATTTGGGTCTTAGCCTTGCCCTTCTTTTATTTCTTGACTTGCCCATTAAACAGACTACTTGTTTCAAGTATTTAAAATAGAGAAGACCCACACTTTAAAACAATACAATAGAGAAAGAGTGATTGTTCTTTTTTTGCTGTACCTGATTCCTGCTATGCAGCATTTAATACTTGTCCATGTGCTACTTTTTTGAAACTCTAGCATGCCAGATCACAGTGCTCCAGGAACCTCTCCGACTTATTGTACCATAGCTTCTCTCCTCCTTTTTCTTCTATCCCTTAAGAGCTGGTGTTCCTAAGATGATGTATGGCTCTGCCCTCCTTCCCTTGCTCCTCATGCTTTCTCATTTATTTTCAACTACAACAAATGTACTCATGACTCTTGGATCTGGCTCTTCTGTCCTGAGCTCTTGTATGATCCCAGACTTATTTTCAGCTGTCTAGTACCCACTCTCAATAATTCTTGCTTGTGTTTTACTATCATCTCCTCAAGGGCTTGTTTACAATAGAAGTTTCATCACTTTAACCTTCATAATGCTATCAGAGTTGTTTTCCTGGAAAAGAAAATAAAGCTGAGCATTCCAATCTCCCTTTTCAATGTCTTGTTATAGAGTCCTAAGACTGCAGGGTAAACCTGATGTTCACAGTCATCACCAACATCACAACTAAATTAGTGCTTGCTCTGGCCAGGTATTATTCTAACCCTTTCATATATGTGAACCATTTCACCTTCATAAGTACCCTGTGAGGTAGGTGCTGGTATATCTCCATCTCACAGACAAGGAAACTGGGCCACCAAGAGGAAATGTAACATGTTCAGGATCACCCAGAGGACAAAGCCCAGCCAGGACTGTCCCTATGCTCCAATCACCTGAACCTTCCTTCTGCTTCTCAACATCCTGCCCTCTTGCCCTGCCTTTGTGCCTGCTACTCTCTCTGCCTGGAATGCTGTTAACCCTTCATTTGCCTGGTTAACTCTTGCCTGGTGGTTCCCAAATAATTTTCTCTGGGAGGACTTAAAACTCTGTGGTCTAAGTTGGTCACTACCATCTCTGTGGTCATAACTGACCTGTTATAGGTTATTCTCTGCTTTGTTGCACAATAAAGTATGTGTGTGTGTGTGTGTGTGTGTGTGTGTGTATGTGTGTCCTCTACAAAATCATGAGTTCCTTAATAGCAGAAATAATTTTTTGGGGGGGGGATCTCTGCTTCTTAGAATTTAGCAGGGGCCTACTACTATATAGTAGGTCATTAAAAAAATGTTTCTTAGTAGAATCAATTAGCCAGGAACTCCATGAGGCCAGGAACTGTGTTTATCTTCTTCAATGCTGTATGCCCAGCCTCTAGCATAAATACACAGGCAGTGCTCAATTGATATTTAATGACAATATGAACCGATTCATCATGGTTTTAGTAAAATCAACCAAACACAACTTCCTACTTTTCATTCCCTCATTTGAAGGTGGTAATCCCAGCATCAACTTGGGTGCTCTTGGTGTTTAAAGTGTGAGCACTCTTGGTTTCTTTTTTACTTCATTTAATAATGTCTGAAAATTAGATATAGATGAATAAAACACATCTCAGTGGATTTTTAGGCCACTGTCTGTTTATAATTTATATATTCCCATTTTTTATATTAGAGAACAATTTAGTTATTTACTACATTCTAAGAATGAGAAATAAAGTTGTGTGTTACTTTGTAAATATTAGTATGTTAGGGTTAGTGAGGTTAAATATTTAGTAATGCAAGGATTACTTTTCATTGAGACCAAAACAGAGAAGGGAGGTAAAGAGAGGTGTCTGGTAGGGATGGCAAGTTTGGTGTGGGAGCTTTACCTGCTGGCCTGGTTTTATTGGGGAGAGCGTGATGCCCTGGGTGTTGATCACAGGCAGGATCTGGTTCCCGATGACTGTGGCGATGATCTGGCCCTGGGCGTTTGTCAGGAGCTGGGGGGTGATAGGCTGTACTTGAAGGCCCTGAGTGCCACTTGCTGCTTGGCTTGATGGCCCTGGATTAGGCATCAGTGGAATGGTCCCAATAATCTGTAAAAAATAAGCCCACATGTGAGGAGCTTGGCTCAGTTTAGGGTCTGCACATACAACCAAAGACCACATGGTACCCTGGGCCTTGTAAGATGGTTTCCAGGAATTGGTCAGAAGGGTATGGAGTTGTGAGAAAAAAAAAAGTAGCAGGGAATGAGTATTTAAAGAAGAGATAATTCCACATAGACTGCATTCACCACAGGAAGGGAAATGTATCTTATTTAAAATTAAGATCAAAGCAATGATAAATGCATAAACATGCAATTTCTTCCAGGACAGTACAGACATCGGCTTTCTCTCAGAACCAGGGAGAGGATGGTTTCCAGCAGTCAAAGCCCTGGCCCCCTGGAGGACTACATCTCTTCCCCACAAGGGCCCCACTTGTCCTGACCTCTGGGGCTCCCCTTCCACAGGCTGCTCCCGACATCCTTTCCTCTGCCCCCCCCCGCCTCTCTCTCTCAATGTTGGGGTCTACTTCCTGCCAGCAGGATGTGGGGCTTCAGGCATCCTGGTGCTCATGGTGGTGGAGAGTTCAGGCTCTGGAGACAGGCGAACAAGATTGCCCTCCCGGCTATGCCACCTACCAGCCATGTCACATTTGTCAATAGACCGAAGCTCTTTGAAGACTTGAGAAAATCAAGATCATAAATAAATGTTTGAAATTCTTAAAGATGAAGGGATGCTGAGGGGGTGAAATCAGAAAAAAACATGCATTTTAAATGATGCATTTTAAACAAGAAGAGGAGCTAAAGGTTGGCAATTTGGGCCTCTGTGAAGATGACGGGACAGGTTTTCCTTTGCATCTGCCTGTGGCTTCAGGCAGTAAATAAAGGGGACTGACTTTGGGAAGGGCCTGCTGGATCCAATTGCTGTGGAAAGAAGGAAGGCACCACGGAAGGGAGCAGTAAATGTCCAATGTGTCCACAGAAATAAAGACCTTACTCATACATTGTTAAGAAGAGATTTAATCTGTAAAAACCAAACTATGATGTGTTTCCAAATATGTGGACTTTTCTAAGGGCAGTCTTGGGGGCTTGTTCTGCAGATGTTTTTTTTTTTTTTCCTGCACATATCATATGCAGGATGGTTAGGCAGTTCTGTTTTGTGGGTCATTGTCAAAGATTGCTTCTCAATTGTGACACATGGTGACCTGGCCTGTGGGTCACCAAGACATAATCATAATAATGCCTCAGAGAGTACGTTCACATGTATGATTTCATTTCATTCTGTATTCTTCTGACAATTCTATGAAGTGGGTATTGGTTATGCCTTTACTTCATAGATAAGACATAGAGGTATAGGGAGGAAAAGGAACTCCACAAAGTCACTTAATGGAGTTTGTAAGTGACAGGTGGAACTGGAATCTGGGTGTGGCTGGCCCCCAAATAATTGCTTTGCCCTTTGCTTCTTGGGTCCCCCATCACCTGGAGATACCAGCTTTGCGACAGTGTTCACATCCTGATTGCAATTTCTCTCTAGGTGATAACCTGCTTGTGGACTGGGTTTATAAGTAATACTGTTTCCTACCCCCATAGCACCTGCACAGGGCTTTGAAGGTAGTTTCTCAGTAAACAACTCCTCAATGAATGGTTTTTAGACTCAGCTACCACTGGATCTCCAAATGCAACCCAGAACCACAGGAGAACCGCAAGACCACATTATTGGAGGATAGGTCATGCCAGAGAAAGCCCCCTCCTCACCTGGCCATTGCTTCCACTACAGAAGCCCCTGAGGGATGGTTCTAACGGAGGAGCTGTACGAATATCAAGTATCAATGGCAGTTGTCAATGGACACTGATAAAGCTCCAGTAATTACTCCAAGATGGTTCAGTCATCCCTAAGGGAGTTTCCAGGCCTGCAGTCTCCCCCAGCAAAGCTTCCATGTCCATACAGCAGCATCAGCCACAAACACGACCCCACTGCAAGCAAGGTCAGGAGTAGTCCACATCAATAGATCACAGCACATAAGTACTTTATTGATGAGTGGTCTTGCATTAAGCTTCCCAGGATTCAAAGATTAATTCCTGTGACCCCCACAGGTGATGTAAGAAAGGCCTGGGGAACTAACCTCCTGTCCCAAGCTACTTTGGATAACTCCCCTTTCCATGCATGTACCCACTCTGGCTGTCCCCAGTGTTTTAGGCCTTCTCAGACCTGCTCCATCTGATTGGCCTCAGCTGAAAGCCTGTGAACACTGGATGCATTTATGAGGCAGGGTCGGTGGGTTCTATTTTAGGCAGGATGTCAGTGTGTTTAGGAGTCTGTGGGAGTAAGTAGCCCGAGAGAATGCCTCAGAGTGAGGCAGAGCACATGACAGTGACAGAACACACTGTGATGAAAAGAGAAGCATTCTGCCCCGGGATGATTGACAGGAGTCTGTGCTGCCTCCGTGGTAACGAGATGCGCTTTCTGGGTGAAAGGAGAGGCAGAAAGGCAAATGCAAACGACTCACCAGCCTCTCCTCTAGGTAGAGCCTCACTTCCCAACCCTGAGCTGAGACATCACTAAAACATGTGCCACTTATGTCCTTTCCACCTCTCCTCTCTTTTTTTCCTAGGCGTTAGCATCATGTATCAAGGATGGGACAACAGTAGTGTCAGAGCCAGAGGAATCTGTAATGGCCTGACTGAAGGAGCCCTTTAATAAAGGGAGTTTGCCTGTGAGGTGAAGGGCAGGGGCAGGAGGGTTGAGAGTCAGAAAACCTTGTTGAAGTTATGCATTTATCATTTTTCTCCCCATTTCAGGGATGTTAGGATCACCATGTCAGCATGCCAAAAACTTGGCAGTGCATTGTGGGGAGTGTTGTCACATTTTCTATTGTATTACAATATGCTGGTTTTAATTTGCTTTCTTTCATTGAAGGGTAGAGATGATCACACACTGGATTGTCTAAAAATGTCCTGATGAGTCTATTTTGCTTAGGCTGGCTCTGATTCCTGTTAACCTCTCTACATATCTGATCAGAATTCCTCTATGGACTTTGATTTCACAAAGATTGCAACAAATATTTGAGAGGTGCCCAGGTGGCAAAGGTCTGAGATTCCATATTCATAAAAAGTTGTCTGTTTTACCAGTAGAGGTTGTATTTTAAACTAGTCTTTTTGGCAAGAGTTAATAAATGGAATGACATCAAATTGAAAAGTTTTCTGCAATGCAAAGGAAATAATTAGGAATGTGAAGAAAGAACCCAAAGAATGGGAGAAAATCTTTGTTAGTTATTCTTGTGACAGAGGATTAATATCTAGAATATATAAAGAGATCAAAAAACTTTACCCCCAAAAATCARATAACCCAATTAAATAAATGGACAAATGAATTAAACAGATACTTCTCTAAAGAAGAAACACAAATAGCCAACAAATATATGAAAAAAATGTTCAACATCATTATCAATTAGGGAAATACAAATCAAAACTATACTGAGATTTCATCTTACACCAGTCAGAATGGCAGCCATCAAGAATACAAATAACAATAAATGCTAGATAGGATATAGAGAAAAAGGAATACTTTTACACTGTTGGTGGGATTCTAAATTAGTACAACCACTATGGAAATCAATATAGAGGTTTTTCAAAAGACCAGGCATGGAACCACCATATGACTCAGATTTGCCATTCCTCAGTATTTATCCTAAAGAATTAAAGTCATACTACAGTGAAACATGCATACCCATGTTCATACAGCACAATTCACAGTAGCCAAACTATGGAACCAGCCTAGGTGTTCATCAATGGATGAATGGATAAAGAAAATATGATACACACACACACACATACACACACACAATGGTATTTTACTCAGCCATAAAAAATGAAATTATGTCATTTGCAGGAAAACAGATGGAACTAGAAGTGAAATAAGTCAAACTCAGAAGGTCAAAGTTCATATGTTTTCTCTCAAATGAAGAAGATAGAGAGAAAAAAGAAAAAGAAAATTTAGGGGTGATCACATGAAAATCAAGGCAGATCGGCAGAGAAAAGGGACCAAAAGATGAGAGGAGAAGAAGGAGGAGGAAGGGCTGAGGAGTGACATTGGCCAAATTATGTTATATTTTGTGTATGTATGAATGTGTAACAACAAATTCCATCATTGTGTACAACTATAATGCACCAATAAAAGATGTGGAAAAAATAAAGTTAGGCTTTTGGGGATTTAGTGGATGTAATTGCATCCACACATATTTCAACTAAATCAGGAAATTAAAACAGGTTTGACAAGTGGATAGGTGATGTCTTGTTTGAGGGCAAAGGTAGAAAGAGGATACTTTTGAGACACTTGTTATCTGAAAACTAGGTTTTAGGGGAGTTTGACTACTCAGATCCCCAAAGCTCAGAATTTACTGCTAAAAGAAGTCCTGATGGAGGTCATGCTGCTGAACAAATAAGGTGACTGGYTATGACTCATGTTCAAGTCATTCAATACTCAAAACTAGTTCATGCTCTCCTATAACACAGAGGATTCTGGTGGAGCAGCTGGGTTCCTATAGACCCTCCTTTCTGTAAGCATTGCATCATATGCCATGGGGGATGCCAAGGAGATGCAGTTGGTACAGGGTAAGGGTAATAATACATTGAAAGCAAAGATTCTACCAATTCAAGGGGAGAAATGAAAAATATTAAATGAGTGGACAGGGACTATCTGATGAAAATTTCTATACCTATATAGCAGGTACGCAGAAGAATATTGAGGATAAACAAGTAACTTCCGAGGAAGAAAGGCAGGGATGGTTTAGGAAGACTCACAGAAGATAGGGAGGCTGGATGAGATTGGGTAAAGAGGCAAGACTAACCTAGAGATGAGAGATAGGGAGGATGGTGAGCTCTCCAGTTTGGAGGCCAGAGGAGGCAACAGGCCAGCATGTGTCAAACTCCATCCAGCCAAGGGGTTATGATGCATGCGCTTTGATACAGTTGGGAAAGAGTGCCGAAATGGAGATATTCTGGTATGGATGTGGCAGTATGGATAGAATGACTAAAGTGGTGAGAGACTACAGACCA